TGTCTGTTTGGATCAGGACTTTGCACTGATGCCTCTAGTAACCAGTCTAACAGCACAGGGTTCTTCCTCTCCTTTCCCGCTCACATAATCCATGGCTCCTTTCTCCCACAAACGTGTGCTCGGTTGCTCTACACTCAATTACAAAGCCATTAACAACATCCATATGATTGGACATACACAACAGATTATAAGGGAACGTTACTTGGAGAATCACTTAAATTAAAGGTAAATCCTTATTTATGCTTTTATGATAAAGTCCTTAATTGTCTTGGAGAGTCTCAGCATTAGAATTTTCTAGTAATGGCTTGTTTTTGCTACCACTTTCATCCTACTTACTTTCTCTTTTAAAATTTTTATTTAATTAGTTTTTTTAATTTACATCCAAGTTAGTTAGCATATAGTGTGACAGTGACTTCAGGAGTAGATTCCTTAATGCCCCTCACCCATGTAGCCCTCCCCCCCACACCCCCTCCAGCGACCCTCTGTTTGTTCTCCGTATTTAAGAGTCTCTTATGTTTTGTCTCCCTCCCTGTTGTTGTATTATTTTTGCTTCCCTTCCCTTATGTTCATCTGTTTTGTGTCTTAAAGTCCTCGTATGAGTGATGTCCTACACGGTCTTTGTCTTCTCTGACTGATATCACTTAGATAATCCCCTCTAGTTCCATCCACGTGGTTGCAGATGACAGGATTTCATTCTGATTGCCAAGTAATACTCCAGTGTGTGTGTGTGTGTGTGTGTGTGTGCGCGCGCGCGCGCGTGCGTGCACATCACATCTTTATCCATTCATCCATCGATGGATGTTTGGGCTCTTTCCATACTTGGGCTGTTGCAAAACACTGTATTTTAAACGCTACTTGATGTAATTTTTTCTCTGTATGGTTATGTCATCCCTCTGCTGTTTGTTAGGCTTATTTTTTTCTGTTTGCAATATTTTTGTTTACTTTTTGCAACCATTTGCATTTAACATTTTTTAGTATATAAAATATTTACCCAGTTCAAAAATCAAAACTGTAAAATTAAATACTTAGAGAAGTTTTGCTGCCATCTATACTTTAGTTTCTGGTTCTCTTTCTGGCTTTTCTTTTTGCGTAAGTAAACATGTATTTATGCATATTTATGTATGGATATAGTCTTGTTTTCCCTTCTTTCTCACATTTTTCCATTTTTTAAGAAATGAGTGCCTCAATGAGTAGAATAACTTTGTGCGTCTGTTCTTTTTTTTTTTTAATTAAAAAGAATTTATTTATTTAATTGTTTTTAAGTAGGCTTCCCGCACCGCACAGAGTCTTATGCAGGGCTTGAACCCACGACTCTTTGAGATCAAGACCTGAGCTGAGATCAAGAGTGAGGTGCTTAATCACCTGAGCCACCCAGGTGCCCTTGCATCTGTTATTTCCCATGAACTTCTGTCTTCAGGCCAATACGTGGGAATAGAGTCACTGGGTCCGAGGCTACATGCTTGTGTAGCTTTGTTAGATATTGCCACTTTCCCCTCCCCTGGGCTTTCCCTTTTGCGTGCACATCTGGAACGCGGGGGGTGCCCTCTCCCCGCAGCCCCACCAGCAGAGTGGGAAACAGAAGGAACGGTATCTTTATGTAGTTTTGTGTGCATTTCTCTTGTTTTCATTTAAATGGGGGATCTTCTCATATCTTTAAGTACGATTGGTATCTCTGTGAACTGTTTACATCTTTTCATGCCCAGTTTTATTGAGATATAAATTGATACATTAACATCGTGTAAGTTTAAGGTGTACAACTAGATGATTTGATGGATGCATATATGGTGAAATGATGCCCACAAAAGTCTAGTTAACGTCGATCTCCTCAGATAACTACATTTGTCTCTGTTTATATCTTTTGCTCACTTTTCTGTTTTTTTCACCCTTTCTATTTTTTTGGAATTATTTATAAATTAGAATGATTAGTCCTTTCTTTGTGACATAAGTTCTAAACATTTTCTCCTAGCTCGTCATTTGTAAATGACTCAAAATCTGTTTTACCACCATATTCTCACTTGTACAGTTAAGAATAATATGCTTATGTGGGACCTTTATTTTGAGATTAAGACCCAATTAATAATTTACTTGTAAGAGTTAACAAACGCCCAGTTGGTTAAGTGTCTGCCTTTTGCTCAGGTCATGATCTCATTGTTTGTGAGTTCGAGCCCCACACGGGGCTCTCTGCTGTCAGCACAGAGCCTGCTTTGGATCCTCTGTCCTCCTTTCTCTCTGCCCCTCCCCTGTTCACGCTTTCTTTATCTCAAAAATACATAATAAACATTAAAAAAAAAAAAAAAAAGAGCCACCTAGGTGGCTCAGTCGGTTATATGCCTGACTCTTGGTTTTGGCTCAGGTCATGATCTCACAGTTCATGGGTTCCAGCCCGCACCAGGCTGTGCGCTGCTGGTGCAGAGCCTGCTTGGGAATCTCTCTCTCTCTCAAAAAATAAATAAATAAACTTAAAAAAAAAAAAGAGTTAACAATATACAGAACTCACAAAATAAAGACAAAACCCAGAAGTAACCTTACAGCCTTTATAGGTAGAAGGCGTACCTGTAGAGTATATTCATCACACAAAGCTGGAGTAAGTAACAAATTGCATAACTGAATCAAAACTCAGAATATTTCAGCAGCCTGGAAATATAGGCCAGAATACACAAAATAAAATTTAGTAGAAATAATGTGTTGTATTTAGGCTTAAAAACATTAATTCCATAAGTTCAAAATTTGGGATACCTGCCTTCACAGAAATTCATACATGTATATATGTATGTATGTATGTATGTATGTTATCTATCTATTTATCTATCTATTTAAGCTTTGGGTTTCGTTGACCACACACTTAGCTAAGCCCCACCGATGACAGTTGCTGAAAGAAAATGCATTCTTAGAGGGAGCAGTACAGGACATTGTCCTAGTGATGGAGAAAATTGCCCCCTTGTGCCCGACATTCACCAGACCACATCCAGAATGGCATGTTCAGTTTTGGGGACCACAGACCAAGAGGGTCCTAGTCATCTGTGAACAAGTCCAAAGCTGAATTAATGAAGAGTCTGGAAGTTGTATTGGGAACCCGGGAGACGAAATCTGGAGAAGGGAAAGCAAGAAACTTGTGAAGCATTTAAATAAAGACTGTCAGGTGGAGGAGGGGGATTAGAATTATTCAGTGCTGGGCGCCTGGGGGGCTCAGTCAGTTGGGCATCCGACTTCGGCTTCAGGTCATGATCTCACGGTTTGTGGGTTCGAGCCTCGCATTGGGCTCCTGTGCTGACAACTCAGAGCCTGGAGCCTGCTTACGATTCTGTGTCCCCCTCTCTCTTTGTCCCCCCCTTCAAAAATGGATAAACGTTAAAAAAATTTTTTTTTAAATTATTTGGTGCTGCTCAAGCCAGCAGCCTCGGGTTTGTGGTTCTGACCCACCACTGTCAGGCTCACTGTAAAGGGAAGCTTTCTAGCCAGCACCCAAGACTTCTGGGAGGGGAAGAAGGGCTGCCTCCTAACCCACCTGCTCCCTGTGGCCAGAAGGCCAGAAGGCTTTGGACAGAGGCGTGGGGTCCTGGGGCTGCGGGGAAGGCTCTGCGCTGTGTGTGGGCAGTACAGGCACCAGGGTCCTTGTCATCTGGCTCATGGAGAGAAGTCTTTGGTGTCTTCTGTGTGTTGGGAACAGGAGCAGCTGGGGGAAGTGATCTGTTGGATTTTTTGGCTGGTTAAAGTAGACGAAAGTTCTAGAGGGACATGCATCTGTAGGATTTAATGGTTACATGTCAACCTTGCGCTTTAGCCGAGATTCTGCGCCAGTTTCCTCAGCGGAGGGGCTGCGCCTTGTAGAGCGTGGGGTCTGTGGGCCGGGAGCCTGCACTTACCCGTTTAGAACTAGCGCTGGGCTCCGTGGCCCCCGGCACCATGTCTCGCAAGAGCAGTGATGATGTTTCAGGATGGATTGCCCTTGTTGAGACCCTGCTCAGGGAGCATTAGTTCCTCTGATGGTCTTCTTAAAAAACGTTTATATATCTTGAGAGAGAGAATGAGAGAGCAAATATGTGTGAGCAGGGGAGGGACAGAGCGAGAGGGAGAAAGAATCTTTTTTTTAAATGTTTATTTTTGAGAGTGAGCGAGCGTGTACCAGCGGGGAGGGGCAGAGAGAGGGGGACAGAGGATCTGAAGCGGGCTCTGCGCTGACAGCACAGAGTCCAGTGCGTGGCTTGAACCACAAACCCAGAGATCATGACCTGCGCCAAAGCTGGACGCTCAACTGACTGAGTCCCCCAGGTGCCCTGGTGAGAGGGAATCTTAAGCAGGCTCCACACCCAGCAGGGAGTCCCATGTGGGGCCCCACGTGGGTCCCAATCCCAGGACTGTGAGATCATCACCTGAGCCTAGATCAGGAGTCAGATACCCAATTGACTGAGCCACCCAGGCGCCCCTCTGTGATAATCTTGTCAAACGTTAACGGGTACAGGAATCAACTGGGATTAGAATGCAGATTCTGATTCAGGAAGCCAGAGGTGTGGCTGAGCCGTAGGCTGCCAGTGATGCTGCTTCAGGGACCTCCCTGAGTTGCAGGGGCCCCAAAGAGGCAGTTCCCCACAGCGCGTCCCCCAGAGACCATTTGTAACAGGATCGCCTGCCCCCTGCTGGTTTACGACGCAGACTCCTAGGCTGGACCTCGGGTCTCTGGGAGCAGCCTGTCTGGGCGGGGGCCCGAGAATCAGCTCTTTGGCTGGCGCTGCAGGTGCTTCCTAAGCACATGACAGGGTTGGACCCACTGGCCTTGGGAGAAAGCGAATAGGATGGTTTAGACTGGACGAGCACTTCGCTCAAGGAGGCCGCCACGCGGAGCCGCACACGACGTCGGCTGGAGACAGCAGGCCAGTGGGGAAGGCTGGCTGAGGGTCGCCGGACGGGCAGCAGAACTGGGGCTCCGCTGCTCTTCTCTCCAGTGCATAGGGCGCGACCTGATGAGCTTTCCCCCGTGCCCTGGTCCCACCTTCTCTTTCTAGTCGTCCGGCATGCTCTGCCCACCGCACGCCGAGGTGCCCTGACCATGAGCCTCAACTCCTCCCTCGGCCACAGGAAGGAGCTGAGTAACCTCACGGAGGAGGGTGGCCAAGAGGGCGTCGTCGTCACCGACTTCGTCGCCATCATCATCATCACCATCTCCGTCTGCCTGGGCAACCTGGTCATCGTGGTCACCTTGTACAAGAAGTCCTACCTCCTCACCCTCAGCAACAAGTTCGTCTTCAGCCTGACCCTGTCCAACTTCCTGCTGTCCGTGCTGGTGCTGCCGTTCGTGGCCACCAGCTCCATCCGGAGGGAATGGATCTTCGGCGTGGTCTGGTGCAACTTCTCTGCCCTTCTGTACCTGCTGATCAGCTCGGCCAGCATGCTCACGCTCGGGGTCATAGCTGTCGACCGGTAAGCTTGCCCGTGCGTGCAGGGGGGGGGGGCGTCATCTCGATTTAGCTCCTTGGGCCGGTGTCAGGGGGCTCCGCCAGGGGGAGGAGGAGGAAGCAGAGCTCTGCCTCATCTTCCATGCCTCCAACCAGAGCAGCCCTGATTTTATCTCATCTACACAGCATGTAGTTTTAGTCTTTAGAAGAAGTTCCGTCGCTTAAAAAGAACGTTCTCGAAGTCTCTGGCTCACACTTTAAGGATGAGAAAAAGCAGCCGAGGAGAGTGATGAGTCAGAGATACTGGTGTCCCAGAGGGCTGCCTGCCGTCCACTGCTTCGGTCGGGCCCCTGGATTCATCTTGCTTATTGGGATTTTGTGGATGGTCACTTGGTTGAGCACAGGCTAGTGTGTGACTTCAGAGAGGGTAGATTCAGCTTGCGGGACGGGGCGGGAAGCGAGCACGGAGTCAGAGGAAACAGGAGACTCCTACCAGCCAGGGTGCTAGTGACGCAGTCCCTGGGCTCCCTCGGGACTGTCCGTGTTTTAGCTGATGGGTGGTAGCTGGATGGTCCATCCGGAGCGCAGGCCTCCTCGCCGCCCAAGGCCGAAGCTGTTGGCTCTCTGTGGCTGTGGGAATGTCAAACGAGGGAAGCAATTGGTCAAAACTAATCAGGTGGCTTCTCTGAATATCTTTCTTTCTCCAGTAATGAAAATGTTACAGAAAGTGTAAAGACTAAAAGAAGTGATACCCATGGGCTGACCACGGTTTGGTTTTTAGTGTATTTGCCTCTGGCAATTTTTGGTTGTGTACAATACACTGTAAACAGGCTCTCTGGCCCATGTGGTTTTTGTGACCTGCTTTGTTACTTAACGGGTGACAGTGAGTACTTCTTGCCACCTGCGGTTGTCATATGTCCTTTAGGAACATGATTTTTGACGGTTCCAGGGTGTTCCATCCTGTGGAGGTGCCGTAATTTATTTTTGCAGTTCCTTCATAGCTTACTACTTTCGAGGAACACGTGTGTTGAGGAATTGTGGCTTTGGTAAGAATAAACACACGTTGGAGATTCTTCGTGTGTGAAAGGCAGGTTGTTTTTCAGAAGACCGTAGGGACTTTGCTCCAGGGGCCGCTCGCCAGTATCCTCGCCAGGCTGATTCTATAACATTAAAAAAAAAAAAATTGGAACTTTGTTGGTAGTGAGGAGACATGGGATCTCGCTGTTTCTCCAGTTTCTATTTTTTTTTAAATTGTTGATTTTTAACAAATATTTATTTTTGAGAGAGAGAGAAGAATCTTCAGCAGGCTCTGCGCAGGCAGCACGGAGCCTGATTTGGAACTTGAACTCATGAACGGTGAGATCATGACCTGAGCGGAAATCAAGTTTTAACTGCCTGAGCCACCCAGGCGCCCCCCAGATTATTGACCTTTGAATATCCCTTCCTGGGCCCTGGGTCCTATGGGTCATGGGGTGAGGGCAAACTGCTACAGGAGAGCTGAGGATGTTTTTTTAAGTTTATTTATTTTGAGGGAGGGGGAGAGAGAGGAGGGGAGGAGCAGAGAAAGAGGGAGAGAGAATCCCAAGCGGGCTGCGCTCTGTCCGTGCAGAGCCCAAGGGGGCCCTGGGTCTCAGGAACTGTGGGAGCCGAGAGCCGAACCCTTCACTTAACCGACCGAGCCCGCCTGGGGAAGTGGTGGGGAAGTTCCTCTCCTGGAGCCGTCTGTGTGCGGGTGTTTGGGAAGTCGTGCCAGCCGGGCAGGGGCGGCTGGGGGGACTGCTTGCTCCCTGGGAGTTAGGGCTCCCAGCAAGCATGACTAACCTGCAGTCATGCTGTCACACTGCACCATCCCGGAGACGGGCGCCCTCCTTCCCAGGCCGCATGGCCGTGTAGGAAGGGCTCTGCGCCGGGGCCTCAGGGCGCAGGATACCAGCGGGACCGGGACGCAGACCTGGCCCGCGTGTTCACAGGTGGGCGAGAGCGGGTGTGGACACAAAGCATAGGGAACCACCGCGGCTCTGGTCCTGCTTGGGGTGGCAGAGCCCGGAGGGCTCCCGGAAGAGGTGCCACTGGAGCTGGGCCTTACCCGCGAGCAGGATCGCCCAGGCCTGTAAGAGTTGGGAAGGACCCTTCTACTGAAGGAACGGCCTCCATTTACCAACTCGATAAGCAGCACCGGACGGGTGGTGCCGGGAACGCACGACTGAGTAAGATGGACGTACACGCCGAGGAAGTCACAGCGGAGGAGAGGGGACGCGCCGTCAGATCGCGTCAGGACCGCGGAGTCTGCGTGGCGCGCGCGGAGTCTGCGGGACGCGGTGCGTCTGCTGTAGTGCCGGCCAAGCAGGGAGGGGAGGGGGCGTGCGGGCCCCTTGCGGCTGGGGACCGGGGGGTGGTGGCTGGACGGAGACCCGATGACACACGACACGTGGCACCGCACTTACCCGCTGGAGCTTTGCTCCACGCAGCCTGGCCCCGCGCTTGCCGGTGACAGAGCCCGTGCAGAGGGGACCCGTGCCTCTCGGGTTAGGGAGCCAGGGCTGGTTACGTCCTCACCACCAGGGGGAGCCAAGCAGGGCGCTGGCCGGTGAGCACAGCACTCCCGATCGTGTTTTCAGATAGCTTCGTGGCAGATGCAGTTTACTTTTTATTATTAGTCTGTCATGTGGCTTAAAGATCCAAATTGACTGGACCAATGTACTTGATCCTGTCCTCTTCTTCTTCTTTTTTTTTTTTTTTAATGTTTATTCATTTAAACATTTTTTTTTTAAAATGTGTATTTATTTTTGGGACAGAGAGAGACAGAGCTTGAGGCAGGGAGGGGCAGAGAGAGAGAGAGGGAGACACAGGATCAGAAACAGGCTCCAGGCTCTGAGCCGTCAGCACGGAGCCCAACACAGGGCTCGAACCCACCCACCATGAGATCATGACCTGAGTCCAAGTCAGATGCTTAACCGACTGAGCCACCCAGGCGCCCCAGATGTTTATTTATTTTTCAGAGAGCCTGAGCAGGGGAGGGACAGAGAGAGAGGAGTACAGAATCCTAAGCAAGCTCCAGGCTCTGAGCTGTCAGCGCAGAGCCTGAGGCGGGGCTCGAACTCACTCACCGGTTAGATCATGACGTGAGTCAAAGTCAGATGGTTAAGTGATGAGCCACCCAGGTGCCCTGATCCTGTGCCCTTCTAAATGACATATTTATGTATTCTTTCCACCTGCTTCATTTCGGTACATTAACTTTATTCCATCTTGATAATTTTGGAGGTCACATATTTGCCTTAGTCTGTTGGAAACCTAAAGATGCAACTGTGTGTGAGTGTGTGTGTGTGTGTGTGTGTGAGAGAGAGAGAGAGAGACACACACAGGGAGGGAGGGATGGGCAGATGTGGAGGGGTAGGGAGGGAAGGTGAGGGAGGGAGAGGGGGAGAGAGAGAAGAGAGCAGGAAGGAAAAAGAACAGAGAACAGAACTAGAGGAGAGAGCTGGGAACATCTCTAAGAAGGTGGAAATGGACCCGACACCCCCCCCCCGCCCCCCGCTCCCGCAGTGGTCATGACTTTGACGGAAAGGGGTTGCAGGCTGCACTCTGCTGCTAATACACACTCCTCCGGAGAGTCCTTGCCGCACCCGGCTGGCCCCCATTCTGCAGGCGAGCGAAGCGAGGCTTTGTGACCCGCCCCAGGCCCGCGTGGCTGGTAGGTAGCTCGTCGGGTTCTGCGGCGGTGAAGGCCGGACTCAAGTCACAGCAGACCCCGGAGTGGACCAGAGTCAGGTCCAGCAGGCGGTTAGTTTAGCTCAGGGTTTCTCAGCCTGGCACCGCTGACATTTTGGGCTGGGTAACACTTTGCGGGGATGGGGGGCTGCATCCCGGGCCTCTACGCGCTAGATGCCAGTCGTTCCTCCCCAGGCACTGCCACACGTCCCCAGGGGGACACGTCGCCCCCACGGAGAACCCCACGGAGAACCCCGCCAAACTAAGTTGGCAGAGGAGCCAAAGGAGTTCATCTCGCAGCCTCGAGAAGGGGGAGCAGAACAGACTGTGTAGACAAAATAGCCGACTGGAGAGGGATTGGGTGGAAATGTCGGGGTCCTGAGCCGGCCACGTGGGGAACGTCACGTGACCCGGGAAGACCTGTGCCCTGACTAAGTGTGTGACTGGTCAGCCCCGGCCTAGCCTGGCAGCTCTTCGGGTTTGCACTGCACACGCAGGCCCTGAAGACGGGGTTCGGTGAGGGAAAGCGGGCTAGCTTGGGGGGGGTCACAGTGCCGAGTCCCCAGCGTCGGGGGAATGCTCTGGGGTAACGTGCGCTCCCCGAGGCGGCGTAGGCTCCGGCTCCGTCGTTTGCAGTGGAGGCGTCTTAGTGACGTCATCACAGGGGGCGGGTTCCGGGCTCCGTGTGCGTGGTGACGTCAGGTTGCACGAGACGTCGTGAGCGCCCCCTGTGGGCCCGGGGGTCGTTCCTGGGCCCGTGTGTGAGCTGAGTGGCTAGAGAAAAGGCTGAGCTTCAGGAGCTCGTTAAGGGCACGGGAGGCAACCCCCTACCTCCAGGCCTCTGATGACGTGCGGGGACACGGGGCGCCGCTCTCGTTCTGTTTTCCTCTGAACTGCAACGGGCCTCAGTGAGGCTAAGTTTGTTTGTTTGTTTATTTATTTATTTTTGAGAGTCAGAGGCAGCTTGAGCAGGGGAGGGTCAGAGAGAGAGGGAGATACGGAATCTGAAACAGGCTCCAGGCTCTGAGCTGTCAGCACAGAGCCTGACGTGGGGCTCAAACCCATGAACTGTGAGATCATGACCTGAGTCGAAGTCAGACACTTAACCGACTGAGCCACCCGGGCGTCCCGAGGCTAAGTTTAAAAAATGAAGTTTCAAATCTACAAAGTCCGTGCTTTCTCATAGGCAGATGGGGGATGTTCTGGATCTTGATGGAGCCATAGGTTTGCACATTGCATCGTATGTAAGTTTTACCAAAAAAGGCAAACAAACCCTGAAACCAGAGTAGTCCTTGGAGGGTATGGATCTAAAGGGGTTGCACTCGGGCCTGTGGGGGCCCCCAGCACCCCCGTGGGACTCGGGGCTCAGCTGGGAAGTTTACCTTCCCGTCCCCCTGGAATTGCTCTTGGCCATAACCTTAGTCAGTCGGTGAAACAGATACTATTTATTATAGTGAAGGAGGAGTCTTGCCATAAAATCATAATAATAACTGGGTGTTGAGAATAGCCAGAAGATTATGTGTGGAGGGCGCTTATTGTAATTATTTTTCAAAAGTCAGAACGGGGCTGGCCAAAGCGGGGGGGGGGGGGCGCAGCTCACATCCGGGGCCTGGCCTCCCTGCGCTGTTGCCCCGGAAGCGTCTTGAGGTCAGAGAGCCTGCACACGGTTTAAAAGGGCAGAGAAAAAACTAGAAATCTCTGCCTTGTTTCTCTTTAAAAGACACCTCCCAGGCAGCCCTCAGTCCCACCCTAGCAGACCCCTCACATTTCACTTGCCGGGATGATGGCGCACAGGTCATTGTCCCGGCTGTCACCTGGCAAGAGATAGGAGACCACCAGAATGGCTTGACTCATCTCTCAGGACGCAGAAGGGCCCAGCGTCCCCTTTCGGTCATGGTAGCTGGAAGTGCATGAACATTCTGGGTTCCTGTTTTCAGGAAGGAAGGAGGAAAGGTCAATGGACAGGCAGAGACCCAGCTCTACCCCTGCTGTGTGAAGGGCAGGCACGACCACCAGTGTGGCCCCTGAGTTCTTGGGGCAGATGTGTGGCAGGGCCCCTGTGATTCCTGACGTTGCAGACGAAGGCCACCCAAGGTCACACAGCTAGTGGAGGGCAGCTCCCTGGGCATGCTTTGTTCCCCGGGCTGCTCGGACGTTGCAAGATGCAAACCCAGGTCACTGAGTGTTTTACCCCAGGCTGTGCTCTGCGATATCCATGACCCATCCCAGGATCCGCACTAGATCCTCCTTTCAGACCCCACACCCGGACCGCACCTAGCCTGGCATCAGTGGTCCCTGGGGCACCTGGCTGGCCCAGTCGGGGGAGCATGCAACTCTTGACCTCAGGGTTGGGAGTTCAAATCCCATGTTGGGTGTAGAGATTATTTAAAAATAAAATCTTTTTTTCCTTTTCTTCTTTTTTTTTTTTTAAAGGAGGGGCACCTGGGTGGCTCAGTTGGTTAAGTGTCCTATTTCAGCTCAGGTCCTGATCTCATGGTTGGTTTGTGGGTTCGAGCCCCACATCCAGCTCTGCTGACAGCTGGGAGCCTGGAGCCTGCTTTGGATTCTGTGTCTCCCTTTCTCTTTGCCCCTCCCCCAGTCGCACTGTTTCTGTCTCAAATATAAATAAACATATAAAGAAATTTAAACAAAAGGAAAGACCTTCACAAAGGGTGTAGGTGGGGAAACGGCCCCTCCCAAGACAGTCAGCAGGCAGCATGTCGCTGTTAGGCTGTGGCCCCTGTCCCTGCACTGCTGGTGCCCAGGGGTGACTCGGGCTGGGACCTGTGTGACCCTTGGCCCTGGTCGTTTCCCAGCGTCCTCTCTGTACCGGGCAGCATCAGCGGGTCCACCCCTGTCTTTTCCACAGGCTGCGCTCATGGGGAAAGCCTGCTATTCATTAAACAGCGTTTCCTTTGGATAAAATGTCTGCGTGGGGAGTGTGTGGTCCCCCTTCAGCCCCGTGACCTAAATCCTCCCACCTTTCCAGTCCCGGGGTCAGGCCTGTAGGCTTAGTCTGCTCCGGCCCCTGGCTTCTTGCCTCCCGCTCCTGCCGTGCCTGTGCGGCTTCCCCGCGGGCTGGGCGCTGGCTCAGGTCCCCTGGCCTCACCAGAGCTGCCCTTCCTCCTCCGCGACTCGGGCCGGGGCCTTTGAACGCCTAAGACCTGGCTTTAGGTGCTGTCTCCCGCAGGACGCCTGTGCTGACCCGCGTCTGGACCAGTTGCCCTGCCAGTTTGAGTCTGGAGCCCTCCAGGCTTCCTCCCTCCATACAGTGCGGGGGGATAGGAAACCCCCTGTTGTGTGGACTCCAGAACGAGCTGGTTTGCGAGGAATTGCTGGCGTGTCGCTGGGGACGGTAGAGCCAGATTGTCCGGGTTTATGTCTTGTTTCTTCCCTGGGCAGGCTGCTTATTCTCCCTCTGCTTTCGCTCCCTCATCTGTGAAATGAGGGTAATGGTAATACCCCCCTCTTTGGGCAGTTGTGAGGATTACACGTAGCCTCCCCACCCAGATGCGGACTCTGTCAGGTGCCTGCCACCCCCCACATCTCCTCACTGCCTTTCCCGTACGTAGCACAGGGCTTCCCATAGGCCTTCGGTAACCGTTCATCAATTGCATAAACCCTGTAGTCTTCTATATTATTCTGGCTTTTTAATGAGCCTCTGAAAACTAACGTACGCTGATTGATGTCAGCAACACAGAAGTGATCTGGCGTCAAGCACGATCCCTTAGAACCCCCGCAGATGCCTCAGGGCGACCCATGGCCCTGAATATGATTGGGTCCTGGCATGGTGACTTGGAAACAGGACCGCCTGAGCCCTGGGTTCATCCTGGCCTCCAGCTCCTGACTGATGAAGCAGGGTGACACTTGTCACCCAGTCTGTGGGTCCCAGTCCCAGTCTGTGACTTGCCCGGGAAGAGTTGGGAGAAGGGGCCGTCTTAGGAGCCCCGTGGCTGGGTTGGAGGGAGAAATTCAACACAGCTCGCCACCTCGGAGAGCTCAGGGGGCCCATTCTGGTGGGTTTTCGCTGTTTTGACCCCTCTCTCTCGCCCCGTCCATACTTGCCCTAGCTACTACGCTGTCCTGTACCCCATGGCGTACCCCACGAAGATGACAGGGAACCGAGCTGTGATGGCGCTCGTCTACATATGGCTTCACTCTCTCATCGGCTGCCTGCCGCCTCTCTTCGGCTGGTCGTCGGTGGAGTTTGACGAGTTCAAGTGGATGTGTGTGGCTGCGTGGCACCGGGAGCCCGGCTATACCGCCTTCTGGCAGATCTGGTGCGCCCTCTTCCCTTTCCTGGTCATGCTGGTGTGCTATGGCTTCATCTTCCGCGTGGCCAGGGTCAAGGCGCGCAAGGTGCATTGTGGCACCGTGGTCATTGTGCAGGAGGGCCCCCAGAGGAACGGGAGGAAGGACTCCAGCACCTCCACCTCCTCGTCAGGCAGTAGGAGGAACGCCTTTCAGGGCGTGGTCTATTCGGCCAACCAGTGCAAAGCCCTCATCACCATCCTGGTGGTCATTGGCGCCTTCATGGTCACCTGGGGCCCGTACATGGTCGTCATCACCTCTGAAGCCCTCTGGGGGAAGAACCATGTCTCCCCGGCCCTGGAGACCTGGGCCACGTGGCTGTCCTTCACCAGCGCCGTCTGCCACCCCCTGATTTATGGCCTCTGGAATAAGACAGTTCGCAAGGAGCTGCTGGGCACGTGCTTTGGGGGCCGGTATTCCCGGGGGCCGACTGCGCGGCGGCAGAGGACATCCCGGCTCTTCAGCATCTCCAACAGGATCACAGGTGAGCTGGGAACTTGCTGGGGGAGGGGTTCCCCCCTGGGGTGGGAGGCGCTCCGCCGTGTTGACGGTGAGCTCTCAGACCGACTGCGGCCTCAGGGCTCCAGGCGCGGTGTGCTTCGGGGAAGGGACATCCCGTGTGTCCCCTGTGGTTCCCAGGCAGCTTTTGGCAGGGGACACTGGAGTTCGGAAATTTGTTTTCTGTTTCCCCAGCCACGGCCCGCTGGCCTTTCTGAAACAGATAAGAAGCCAGGCTGCCCTCCCCTGCTGGCTGGGCCTTTGCTGTCGGTGGTCCGTAGAGCAGAGCCCACCTCCAGGCACCCCCGCCCCCTCCTCAGCTCCTCCTCCGACCTGTCTCGCTGGTCAGCGGTGTCCTCATGTTGGCGCCAGCAATTCATGTGTGTCAGCGCCACCCCCAGCCCTCCCCCTGCTGCCTTGAAATGTCATTGTCCCTTGTGTGTAAAGCTGCTCTTCCGTTGGTGATTGATTGACCTGGGAGCTAACAAGTTCCTGGAGATGATCTCTCCCCTTTGGTGAGGCTGGAGGAATTAGTCTAGGCGGGGATAGATTTTTTTTTTTTTAAAGTAGTTTATTGTCAAGTTGGTTTCCATGTAACACCCAGGGCTCATCCCAACAAGTGCCCTCCCTCAAACAGATCACCCCCTCCCCTCTTACCCACCCTCATCAGCCCTCAGTTTGTTCTCGGCATTCAAGAGTCTCTCATGGTTTGCCTCTCTCCCTCTCCCCCACTATTTCCCCCCTTCTTCTCCCCCACGGTCCTCCGTTAAGTTCCTCCTCCTCCTATACGTGCAAACATATGATATTTGTCCTTCTCTGCCTGACTTATTTTGCTCAGCATAACACCCTCAAGGTCCATCCACGTTGCTACAAACGGCCAAATTTCATTGTTTCTCATTGCCGTGTAGTATTCCTTCGTATAGATAAACCACATCTTCTGGATCCATTTGTCCGTTGATGGACACTTAGGCTCTTTCCATGTTTTGGCTATTGTTGAGAGTGCGGCTATGAACATTGGGGTACACGTGCCCCTATGCATCAGGATTTCTGTATCCCTTGGGTAAATTCCTAGCAGTGCTATTGCTGGGTCGTAGGGGAGTTCTATTGTTAGTTTCCTGAGGAACCTCCACACTGTTTTCCAGAGGGGCTGCACCAGTTTACATTCCCACCAACAGTGTAGGAGGGTGCCCGTTTCTCCACATCCTCGCCAGCATCTAGAGTCTCCTGATTTGCTCATTTTAGCCACTCTGACTGGCGTGAGGTGGTATCTCAGTGTGGTTTTGATTTGTATTTCCCTGATGAGGAGGGATGCTGAGCATCATTTCATGTGTCTGTTGGCCATCTGGGTGTCCTCTTTGGAGAAGTGTCTGTTCATATCTTCTGCCCATTTCTTCACTGGTTTGTTTGTTTTGCAGGTGTGGAGTTTGGTGAGTTCCTTAATAGATTTTGGATATTAACCCTTTATCTGATATGTCATTTGCAAGATAGATTTTTTTTTTAACCCTTTTGATTTTGAAATAATTTTAGACCTGGAGAAGAGCGGGGAAGAGAGTACCGAGAATTCCCACCCACCCACGCCGCTTCTCCGGCGGCCACCAGAGCCATTGACATCGGCTCAGTGCTGTGAACCCTGCGCTTCCTGCACGTTTCCCCCAGTTCCCCACGCATGGCCTTTTTCTGTGTCGGGATCATGATCATGTCACGGCTCCCTTTGTCGTCTTCAAGCTTTGACAAGTCTTTGTCCCTTGTCTTCCATGACATTGACGCTTTTTTAGAGTGCTGGGGTGGGGGAGGCAGTTGTAGGATGCCCTGGTCTGGGGCTCAGCCGATGTGTTAGGATCAGAGTGAGTTTCTCCGTTTGGGCCCGGAGTGCTGTGGGGGTGCTGCGCTCTTAGTGATCCCCTCGGGCACGCAGGTCAGTGTGTGTTACTACCCATTTATGTGACCCTGGTGTTGTGGTTAACGTCTTCACTCAGGCTGCTGTCATGAAATGCCACAAACTAGGGGCTGACACCAGCGACAGGGCTTTTTCCCAGTTCAGGCGGCTGGAAGTCTGAGATCAAGGTGCCACGTGGGTGGAGCCTGGTGAGAACGCCCTTCCTGGCTGTCTTCCCGCTGCGTCCTCACATGGCGGGGACGTGGGGAGACGGGACAGAGCAGGCGCTGTGGTCCTTCTTATGAGGACCCCACCCTCATGACCTCGTCTGCTCCGGATTACCTCCCGAAGGCCCTGTTTCCAAATACCATCATTCCCGGGGTTAGGGCGTCAGTGTGTGAATTTTGGGGAAACACTGAGTCCATCCAGTTCATGTGGTGTCTGCCAGCTTTCTCCATTGTAGTCACTGTTTTTCCCACTGCCATTAATAAGTACCCTGGGGGAGATCCTTTGAGGCTCTGCAAACACCCTGCCTCTCCTCCAGCCGTCACCCACCAGTTATAGCGCCCACTGGTGGGTTCTTCCTATGGGGAAGTAGCCAGGGTTTTAGGGCCACGTTTGAGGGAGATTATCATGTAAATGAGCTGTTGAAGGAGAGATTTTGAGGGCGCTTCGACCGAGAAAGAGCTAGTTCAGGTTAGAGTTCTCCTCTTTTGCTGGGTGACTTTCGAGCTGAAACCACTCGAGAGAATGGTTCCTGTAAGTGGAATAGAGAGGCCGCCCACCTTCTCTCTCTGTAAAGAACGGGTTCCCCAGGACTGCGAATACTCAGTGGTAGTAGTGATGGGAGATCTTTTCCATGCAGCAGTAAGAAACCAGCATCACTGATGTATTTCATGGGTCGATGGAGTGTTACTTCTTGAGAGAGAAAGGAAGTCAGGGAGTTTTTATTCTTTTTTTTTTTAAGTAGGCTCCATGCCCAACACGGGGCTTGAACTCACGACCCTGAGATCCAGAGAGGGACTTTTTATTCTGAGCAGAGGAGAAAAAGAATCTCTCCATATCTCAGTATTTTAACCCCTGGAATGCCCCTTGCCCGCCCCCTGCAAGTCCGTGTTTCCAAGTATGACTTGTGAGTCAGAACTGCATTCACAGTCTGGCTTCATTTCTCTGAGTAACTTACTTGGATTTGGTAAAATCACTTTTCTTTTAGGCAAAGAGTATGCCATGTTTCGTATTCCGCTGAAGTGAAGAATGAGGAAAGAGAAAGAAAGAGGAAAGAGAATAGAGGAGGGAGGGTGGCCAGAACCAAAAGAAACATCAGCTCGTGGCCCGGATTTTCCACGCAGGTCACTGAGGTGGTGCTGGCAGAGGGCGTGGGGCCGGGAGAGCGCCGGGAACGCCAGCTGTGGTTTGGTGGGCCTGTCTGTGGCCGCTGGTGGCCTCCTCCTCTCGGAGGGGGCAGTCTTGTGGGATGCGTTTGGGTTGCAGAATGTGTGGGCCGATGGGCTCTGCGCACTTGGCCTTCCCCAGCTTCTGAGTGTTGGATGCACAGCAGAACTTGGCCTCCCTCCCCCCCTCCCCTCTGCTCCGTGCCCCGCCCGCCCCAGGAATGCCCACGCCCTTCTGGTCTGGAGGAGGGAGGCTGCCAAGGCCTTGGTCCCTCTGGCTGAGCCAGGGCTTGGACCCTCCTCTGACGCCCCCTGGGGGCCTGGCTTGCATCCGCCCAGACTCCTGAACCCAAATCCGCTTTCTGTCCCTGGAGCCTGCTTCTGGGCCACCTCCCTCACCTCCGGGAGTGCTGAGCCGGGGGTAGCAGAGGGGAAGTGGGGGGTAAGACCCCGTCCACAGGAACAGCAGGGGACCGGAGGCTCTTCTTGGCTTTGTTCCTCTCCATTTGCATGGACACCTGGGAAGCTTTAACCAAAGGAATCAGTACATGGAATTAGAAACGTGCCTCACAGGGTAAGCAGAGGCAGACAGGAATTCCAGAACTATCTGGAGCTTCCCAGCTGACTCTGGCTGCTAGGAGCTTTAGACACACATTGTCCCATTTATTTCATATGTGATTTGCACCACGATCCGTGGCTCTGGGTTTCTTGTTCTGGCCCCAAGCCGAAGAAGTGCAAACACTGACGTTTTCCCCGGGGTGTCACCTGTCCCTGAGCCCCCAGAATGCCTTCTGCCTGTGAGGTCTTGTTCATAGATATCCCGGGGCTGAGCCAGGACTTGAGGCCTCTGGGCTGCCTGGAGGTTGTCAGGCGCTCCCGTCTCCTGGTGACAGGTCAGCCCTGGAGTCGACATCGACCTCTAGTGCCAGAGGGTGAGCTGAAGGCTAACACTTGGTCTTGGGAGGCCAGACCACAAATCCAAAGCTGGCAGGGGGCTCTGGGCGATTAGGGACCTTCAGGAGAAAGCCCCCTCCCCCGCCCCCGCCTTCCGGCAGCTCTCCCACTGGCCGACTCGGACCTTTACCCCAGCTGGGAGGGGGGCCTGGGCACCGGGGGAGGGGCCGCCTCTACAGATGCCCCTGCCAGCCGAGTCCCCAGCTCCTGGGGTGGGGCAGGCCCCCCTAGCAGTCTTCCGGAGAGAAGGATGCAGGCACAGCGGGGAGGGACGCGGGGCACTGGAGAGGCCCTGCACCCTGCGGCCTCTGCATTTTCCCTCCTAGAGGCCCTCTGGCCACCTCAGCGTGCCTGCTTCACCTCAGAGCTGCTCCGCTGGTCTCCCCCCCTCCTCCCGGCCCTGCCGGCCTCCCCGCCTCCTCTGGGCACCAGTGGCTCTTGGATTTAGCCCAGGCTGGACCTGATCCCTGGGGCCTGTCGCTTTGGGCCTTTTTTCCCCCTTCTTTTTAAATTTCGGGTAATGGGGTGGATTGGGCCCAACCCAGTGGCCATGCGATCTGTTCATGGGACAGCCCCCAGGGTCGGTGCGCCCACTGCCCAGTGTGCTGGAGACACAGGATGGAGGGGGCCCCTGGCGGTCACTCGCAGGCCGTCGGCCCAGCCACAGCCACGGTCGTCTGGCCCCCGCTACTCCTCACGGTGTCCGAGGCCAGCGCACGCTCTGGCTCTCACCCCGGCCTCAGAGATGGTGTCCAAACCCCACTGTGGCCTCGGTCAGCCCAGCTGGCAGCGGACTGTCCCCCACGGCCCGTCCCCGAGCCAGGCTTCCCGCGGAGACACGGCCACCTTCTGAGGCTGGGGCCCTGGACGGGAGGAGCACATCTGGGGCCTTCTCTGGGTTCCGTCTCTACAGCAGCATCCAGGGGAGGGCCCTCTGCACAAGTGTGGTTCCTCGAGGTCAGGAGCGGGGTGCTCTCAGACCCGCCCCCACCCCCATCCTTTCCTCGTTGGCTCCAGGGAGGGCAGGAACGCACTGTCCATCCCCGCGCACCCTCCGAAGATTTAGGACGGAAGTAAAGAACCGAGCCCTCTCCTGCCGGTAGGGGACTGGGGGGGGGGGGAGGGGGCGGTCTTTTCCGGCAGGTCGTTCAGTCCAGTCTGCTAGGCCGCAGGTCTTCTCGTGAGGCCAGAGGACCTTGACTTTGTGGCTGCGTTGGCTGCTAAGAGCGCCTCCTCGTGGCCTCCCCGCTCTTTTGTTCCTGGAGTCCTCGGGGGGGACCCGCGTGGAATTCTCGGTCTTCTCAAGACCCCGCCATGGTCTCCTCCAAGATCCATTTCTTTTCCTTCTTTCCCTGGTATCCCTTCATCTCTGCCTTTGAGGCCAGCGCCGTTCCTGGTGACAAGGCCCTGGGCACGGGTGAGGGCCCTGCGTGGGGCGCTCGGGCTGCTGGGCTCCGCCTGCCCGGAAGGGGCTTCCCCCTCCTCCTGGGTTGAGTGAGAGGAGGGGCAGGGCCTCCTAGGCCCATTTCCCCCTCCCTTACGCCTCCCTCCTCAACCCGGGGCTGGGAGGCGCTGTGGGAGGGAGGGACCCGGTGCCCCCGCCTCCCTCCTCCCCGCCCCAGACACTTTCCCTCCAGCCCCTCCTGCTGCAGAGGCCCCAGGGCCTCCAGCTCCTGAGCCCTGGGGTGGGGGGGCGGGAGCACTGGGTGAGAAGCGGCCTCCGCTCCCTGGGTCCGGCCGCAGCCCTGGCCGGCACCCTGCTGTTGGCAGGCCGCCTCCCCGCTGTGCGGTTAGGCCTCTTAAACAGAAGTTCTTGCCGGGATTCGGATCTCAGTCGGCCGCAGAGCATCCACGGCCCGTGTTCTGGAAGGTCGTCTCCCACGGCCATTTGTGTCACGTTTTCCCTGCCACCTGCCTTGTTGGTGTGTGTTGTCGCCAGAGTTTCCTCTTTAGGGGACCCAGGGATGCTGTCCCAGTGCAGACGCCCCACCCCGGGACAGGAACGGGCCGAGGGGCCACAGGCAGCGGGGCTCCTGGTCCTGCGGTGGGGACGGGGGCCTCCTGATCCTGCGGTGGGGGCGGGGGGTGGGCTCCTGATCCTGCGGTGGGGACAGGGGGGCAGAGGGGCACAGGCAGCGGGGCTCCTGATCCTGCACGGCTTGCAAGTGACAGAGGGGACAGGAGAGCAGGAGGTGAGGCGGGTGGGGACCCCCTGGGATGGGAGGGATGGTGGCTGCGCCCGGGGGACCTGGATCGTGCTGACGGTGCCGACTCTGCCTTCCAGACCTGGGCCTGTCCCCACACCTCACGGCGCTCATGGCAGGCGGGCAGCCCCTGGGGAACAGCAGCAGCACCGGGGACACTGGCTTCAGCTGCTCCCAGGACTCAGGTGAGCCTCGCGCCTGCCCCATGACCCTGGTGCCCCCCCCCCCCCCTACATGTGGCTTTCCGGTTGTGGCTCATAGCTCACCGGTGTTGCCGTGCCTCGGTTTGCTCCGTATAAAATGGGGATTTCGGTTCCTCTTCTCTCCGCCACACAGTGTTATTGTGAGATTCAAATGAAGTGAACCCCTTTGAAAAGTTAAAACGCTGCGTGCCCGTGAGTCGTTACCGTGAGTGTGACACCCTCGGCCCTTTCGGGCTCTCGAGGCCAGCTGCCTGGTGTCCGGGGTCTGATTGCCCTTTTCTGAGCTGTGTTATCTTGGGCAAGTTGCTCAATCTGGAAGCCTTTGGAGCATCACCGTGTGTGAGCTGGGGGTGGCCGTCCCCTATCCCGGCTGCTCCGAGGTCACACCCCCAGCTCACCACCCTGGATGCCCAGTGCCCTGCCTTTGAGAAACTTGGTCTCCCTGAAGAGACACGTGTTGGGCACAGAAGCTCCCCATCCCCTGTGGCTGCCCCCAGGGGACCCTGCAGGCCGAGCTCCTTCTCCAGGCCGTTGGCCTGGCTGCTTGCCTAGCACACCACTGGCTGCCTCACAAGGCCCTGGTGAGAGGCGGGTGGGCAGAGGCGTCTGCCTCGCATCCTGGGGCCTGTGCCCACGAGCTTGGCTGCAGGGAGTGCAGGTGCAGCGGGCGAGGCAGTGGGGGGGGGGGAAAGGGGGTGGGGTTCGCTCCGTGCCTGCTGCCCGGAGCTTGTGACAACTTCTTTCTGCCTTGTCCCAAGTCTCCCCTCCTGAGCCTGCCTGTGTCGTCCACCCTGGCACCGGCCGTGGGCAGGGACCGAGAGCAGCCCTTCTGTGGTGGACAGTTTTCCCCGGAGGCAGAATATTCCCCGAGAACGTTCTGTCACCTGTGAGCCAGTGGGTTGAACCACCTTCCCGCCATTTCTTCTCTCGCGTCCCTCATGTGATTGGAAGGAAAAGAAGGCCCCTGAGTCACCCCCCAGGCTCTGTCCCCATTTTCTGACAGCCAGCAGGGCTGTGTGACATTCATTCATTCAACGCAGGTTTATTTGCCCAGACTCTGTACTAGGATCCAGCGGTGAGCTGCGCCCAGGGAGCTTTCCGTGGGCCTGGGGAGCCTGGCGGTCACCCCGCGGGCTGTGGGCACTGCTGCTGTGCAAGGTCGTCCCCAGAGGGAGCTTTGGAAGCCTTGGAGAATTAGAGCAGCGTCTCTGAGAGTGAGCCCCGAATGCGAGGAGGCAGCGGCGGTGCAGAAGGCGCGGCCGCGGCCGGAGGAGGAGCGCGGCCTGGGCCGCCACTCAGATCCAGCGTGTGCGACCCTGGGCGCCACCTGCACCGGCTGCGCCTTGGTGGTGTGACCCCCGGTGAGCCCTGCTGTGTGCCGAGCCCGGCCGCACCTGCCCGCGTCGCAGCTCGCCGCCCCGCCGGCTCCGTGAGGTGGACGGAGCTGCCATCCCCGCGTCGCGGCCTTGAAGTTGCTGAGGGGCTCAGCACCTGCCCCAGGTCCGTGCGGGGCGCGCGGGGCCACCACGTGCCGTGCCAAGGCCGACGATCGGCCTCCCCGCCGGCGCCTGGGCGGCTTCTCAGCAGGAGGGCCGGGCTCTCTGCTCCCTGCCTTTGTTTCCCCACTCTTTTAAAGGGTATATTTTTCGATTCTTTTTTGAGCCCCGAAGAACTCTACATTTTCAAGTTTTAAATGTTTATGTAGCACAAAATATTTTAGCAGAGAGGCAGCCCCGCGGCCGGCTGCACCGCGCCCCCGACGCCGGGCGGAGTGTTCCTCCCGCACGCGCTGCAGGGCCCTGGGCGCGCCTGCTGGTGGCATTGAATCCGGGGGGCTCGGGCGCGGGGGCGTGGAGAGGGGGAGGGGCAGGCGGTGAGGAGGACCCCGCACCCCTGCTTCTGTGTGCACAGTCCGCCCTTGGTTTTAGGGACAGATGTGATGCTGCTCGAGGACTACGGGTCCGATGATAACCCTCCCTCCCACTGTACGTGCCCCCCCAGGAGGAGGAGCTCGGTGACATTCGAGGATGAGGTGGAACAAATCAAAGGTTGGTGTGTGGCTCACTGCTTCGGGACAGCAGGCGGGACTTGGGGGTGGGGGGGCCCGGGGGGGCGGAGGGAAAGGATCTGGGGAAGATTCGTTGGTTCGGCCCTGCTGGTGCCCCCAGCATTCCGGGGGGCCCCGCTCTGCCGGCCTCACCTGTCCCTGGGCCTCCGTTGTTGGGGTCGTGGCATCTAGGCTGGGAGGGTGGGGCTATCGGACTCTAGACAGATGTGCACGCGCACGTGCACGCACACGCACCCGCACCCCCCCATCCTGAGTCCCAACTTGGGAAGCTGCCTCGGGATGCAACTTCCTGAGGCCTCCGCAGTCACCCGCCCCTGGGGACACGGTGCGGGTATAAATCCGAACTCGCTGTCTCTGAGCCGCCGCTTCCTCACGTGGAAAATGGAAGCAGTGCTCCCGCGGGTGCTCCCACCTGAGCAGAGGCTGCCGCCCCTGGGGTCGATGAGGGCGCGTGGGTCTGTGAGGGGGTGGGCTCTGCTGCAGCGCCGACACTTCGTCTCCCGCGTGTCCTGAATCCGACCCCCGCACCTTGTCACCTCTGGGTCGGAGGGACCAGTTTCCCATCCGGGCACTCTGGTTAGAAGAGCGGCCGGGGACCATCCGGACCGCCCTCGAGGTGCGACTGTCCTCCGATCCTCAGTCAGACGCGTCATTGCGCCGCTGGCCTGTGGCCTGGACGTCGGCCCTCGGGGCACCCACGTGCGGGGGCGCCAGAACCCCCGGGTGGGATGTGGAGTCAGGGACCCAGGACAGCGGGCTGTGCCGGAAAAGTGGGTCCTGTACAGCTTTAGGATCGTAGAGAACCCCACCTCTTCTCCCGCCCCACCCCCCACCCCTACCCCGGCCGGACTGGGGTGATCACAGAGCTCAGGAGACCGATCGGCCTTTTCACTGGCAAAGTAGACTCGGGAACAGAGGTGCCGGCCTGCGGCCCCACGGGCTTGGCATCTGTGGCCCGCTAACTCGAACACGAATGCGCCCCCCAGGCCACACGGGCCAGTGTGGCCCCTTCAGGCCTACTTAGTGGGGATGGCAGGCCTGAGGGCCTGTCCGCAGGCAGGGAGGGGCAGGGCCCCCCTCAGGTCGCAAGTGAGGGTCAGGGAGAGGCCTCTTTCCTTCCCTGAGGGCGGTGGGGGGTGGGGGTGGAAGTTGGCTCCTCTCCAGAAAATGTCGGGATGCTGAGCGGTGAGGGCGATAGTGTCATGAGGCACTGGGTGTGGGGTTGAAGAGTCACCCCTCTCTGTGTCAGTTGGTGGCGTCCCAGTCCTGTCCCCAAGGCTCCCGGGGGCCCAGCCGGTGTGGCGGGGGGAGAGCCCTCACTCAGCCACGTGGTGGTTTGTAGCGCGGACAGCCTGTAGCTCTAGGGACCCGGGACGCCAGGGAGCTCTTTCAAGGTGGGGCGTTTTGAACACCCTTCGCGGGCAGGACTTGTCAGGCCTTTCTCGCAGGCCAGACGTACCCATTTCAGCAGCACAGAAACCCTGCGGAGGGGAGTAGCAGGCGCTTCTTGCTACAGACCGGAAGCTTCCATGCTGCCCGGGGTAGTAAATGGGAAGTCGAGGGTTTCAGCCCCGGGAATCTGACCGCAAAAGCCACGCCCTCAACCCCCTCCGCGGGCGAGGAGGCTGCGGCAGGAATATTCCTGAAGCCCTCAGTCCCAGCCCCCCCGCTACCCGTTTCTCTGCTTCTCCCCCAGATGCCGCCAGGAACCCTCTCCTGCACGTGAAGGCCGAAGTGCACGAGTCCCTGGACAGCTACGCAGCCAGCCTGGCCAGGGTCATCGAGGCCGAAGCCAAAGTCAACCTGTTCGGGGAGGAGGCTTTGCCGGGGGTCCTGGCGGCGGCGCGGACCGTGCCCGGGGCCGGCTTCGGGGGCCGCCGAGGCAGCAGGACCCTGGCCACCCAGAGGCTGCCGCTGCAGAGCATCGCCGAAGGGAACATCTAGGCCGCGGAACCGCGATGAGAGCCCGGGACGGTCGGCCCGTCCCGCGGGGTCGCCCGGGGACCGAACGACACCTGAGGCCGCCGAACGGCGTGTCCGGTGAGACCGCGATGGGCCCCTGGGACGTCCTGGCGGTGGGACCGGAGGCGCCTAAGGCGCGAAGGAGAGCGGACGGAGTGGGGCGCGGAGGGGCCGGAGCCCGGGGCTGGGCAGGAAACCGCCACGTGGCTGACTCCCTCCCACCACGGCTCCTGAGCCGGGACCCCGGCCGTGCGCCCTTCGGGGGACAGCCCTTCCTGGCCAACAGGGCCGTCCCCTGGCGTCTGCGCGGTTGATGCGTCGCCCTGAACGGTGCCCAGGACACCCTGGAGCGGGGTGGCCCGGCGGCGTGGCCACACCTGCATCCCGGTCATGACCTTGCAGCCCGCTGCGGAGCCTCCCGCTGGTGCCGGAAGGGACCCTCCACGGGTCACCCCGCGGAAGCCGAGGCTGCCGTCCCCGAGAAGGGGGACCGTCCCGCCCACCTTCTGTTGACCGGTTCTCTGGTGTTTCAGAAGAAGGGGAAAACCACTATAAAAGACACGAGGGAGGGGCAGGCGCCCGCTGTTTCATTTCCGGAATTAAAAGGACAATCCGTCGGGTAGGACAGGCCACCCTCCGCCCAAGCACGAGGGAGGCTGCGGTGCCCAGCACGGCCGGGACCCAGAGCACAGGCTGCGGTGTCCCCGGGACTGGTCGGACGGCCGCCCCCAGCCGCACAGGGACAGCCCCCCTCACCCAGCGACGACTGCCGGTCCCCTGGCCCTGGGGGGTGAGGCAGGATGGGGTGCAGACGTCTCGCCGCACCTGTGCTCCCGGCCCAGCTCCGCCTCTGCCGGCATCGGGGACTTCCGGTCGCCCCTCTAAGCCGTGGGTCCGGAAACTGGGATGGGGAATGGGGGGTGGGAGGGGGTGGGAAGGTGGATTTGAAGGGTCTCCAAGATTATTTCCAACTGTGATCGTTCATGTTCTCTATCTGTAGTTTAGAAACGGGGGTGGGGGGGTGGGGAGCGGACCCTCCCACGGTGCAGGCGCGTCTTCCCAGATGGTTTCTGACCGGTGCACGCGGCCCTGCGGGGGCGCAGCGGGTGGGCCAGTCCGACCTGTCCAGCAGGGTCTGGCCGAACCCCAGATGCGGGGCGCACGGAGTGGAGCCTCGGGAATGGGGTTTGTACGGCCAGACTTTGCCCGTCTCCCCTTCGGGTTTGGGACCTTGGCTGAGTCTGGGCTTGCGGTTGCGCTGCGGTGACGGAGGCCGCCGGATCGCCCGTGTCCGCCCTTCGGCCTGGGTGCTCGGCTAAGTGGGTGCCGAACTCCCGCCGTCCCAGTTCGAGGCGGTTCGCAGGGGGCAGGTTCCCGGAGCTCCGGCCGCCCCGGCCACAGGGCAGCTGCTCCGGAAAGCGCGCCCCCTTTGCGCGGGGCGTCCTAGCTCCCGGTGACCGTCGCCCGTGAGCCGCAGGGCCCCTGGTCCGCCGATTTGTGCCGGTCCGCTACCGGGCGGCCGGCGTTCCTGGTCTGAGGGCATTTTGTTTCCGGTGTGTGTTTGCCTTCCGACACCTGTCTACTAAGGGACCACGTTCCTGACCAACTAACATGCACAGAGGTGGCCTTTGCGTCGAGGCTGGAGTAACCCGGGGTGGCTTGTCCTTTAGGCCTTTCTGAAAGCGGCACATTGGCCTGAAGAGCGCTCCCCACTCCCCCCGCCCCGCCCCGCCCCCCCGGCTGTGCTCGCCGGAGTCTGGAGACCCCAAGCCCCACTGGCGGATCTCAGACTAGGGGACACATGAGGGCTTCGCCTGAGCCTGTCCTTGCCGAGAGATTTGTTTCCCTTTTCTCTGTCGTCGCTCCCAGCGTCTGCGGACTGTGTGCAGTGTCGTCGCTCATTATAATGTAGGGAGAAGCCTGGGCCTTACTGATGAGTCAAGTCCTTCTTCGTTCCCCAGAGGGAGGCGGGTGTCGCCGGGTTGGGGACGCCTGAGTGAGAGCGGGGGGGGCGGGGGCGGGGGGGAAGGGGTGACGGCGAGAGAGGAAGGGGCCATAGTCCCCACCGTCCTGAAGGCTCCGAGAGGCCTTTTTGAGGACCTGCGTTCTTGGTGCAGAAGGTCAAAACCCCGGCTGCCCCCCCACCCCCACCCTGGGCCCGTCAGCTTCGCGGCGCTGGGCGGGGGCAGCCTGAGACCCTCCCGGGGGCACGTGGACATGCGGGCACACGGTTGTAAAACCTCGGCCCGTGCCTCGCCGTCTAGGCCCATCTCTGCCCCTTTCATCGAGGTTGTCACTTGACTGGGTGGCTGCGCTGTGCCCGGGGTCTGGGGGCTCTGGTGGCCCCACGACAGAGCACGCAGCCCACACCGGCGGACACACCTAAGCCCGCCCTGGGCCGGAGGCGCGGAGCTCAGGCGCTCGGGGCGCGGGCCGCTAAGTGGCAGCAGCGTGGCTGCGGTGCCGCCCGCCGTTCTAGAAAACCCGAAGGGCAAAGCTGAAGGCGCCTTTGCTTTCAGCGGAGCACGTGCTCCGAACGCTTCGACCCCTCTGCCGCCTTCGGCCTTCAAGGCCCCCCGCTTTCTCGGTCCACGGTCGTGCAGGGGAGGAGGGCCTGCGGGGTGTACGACCAGGGCCCCTGGTGCTTGTTCTCAGTTGCCCTGCCCCGTGCTGCGGTGCACTGCGTAGACCTGAGCCGCCCGCGACGCTCACTCCGCACTCGCGTCAGGCCGAGGCCTTGGGGTGCGGTGGGGCGGGAGAGGGAGGGGAAGGGCTTTGCTGCGGACGGGGGCGGGGGCCTTGTAGGTCCGATGGGACGTCACCACGTGAACCCGTGTCCGTCCCGACGGCGCGGCCCCGAGATGCTTGCGCAGCCGAGGCCCAGCTGTGGGCGTCCGAGGCCCCGGAGGGGACGTGGCCACGAAAGGGGGAGGCGGGGCGGCAGTGCGTGCCCTGCGGCCGGCGGGTGACACACGTGGGCACGCTCCGTCCCCCCTCTCCCCCCCCAGCGCTGGGGCAGCCGCCACGCGGTGGGGCCGCTCCGGGGCCGCGCTCCGGGGCCCGGGTCCCGGGTCCACGCTGCCGCTCCGGGGCCGTGCTCCCAGCCCCTCGGTCCGCCCACTTCGCAGTTGTGAGGAAAGGAGGTTTGTAACACTTCTCTGTGGGGACGCGGAACCCAGCGCCCCCCCCCCCCCCCCCCC